AAAAAAAAGGCTGGGTATGGTGGCTCATGCCTATAATCCCAGCACTTTGGGAGGCCAAGGCGGGCAGATCACCTGAGATCAGGAGTTCAAGACCAGCCTGGCCAATGTGGTGAAACCCCATCTCTACTAAAAATACAAAAAGCCAGGCATGGTGGCGGGCACCTGTAATCCCAGCTACTCAGGAGGCTGAGGCAGGAGAATTGCTGAAACCCAGGAGGCAGGGGTTGCAGTGAGCCGAGATCATGCCACTGCACTCCAGCCTGGGTGACAGAGCCACAATCCGCCTCAAAAAAAAAAAAAAAAGAGTTAAATGGGATAGTCTCCTTCAAAGTTGCCAAGGGAAGTGAAACTCTGTTCCCCACACCTGTAGGGAGCACATTCTACCATGTGGGGAAGGGTTTAGCTTCTGTAAAAGACCTTTACCCCTTAAAAGGGGTGAAGTTGCTTTTGGATAAAATTGGGCTTAAATTAGATAATAAATCTTTTTATTTTTCAGTGAGTAAAGCAGGATGGTAAAGTGACTGGAGACTTGGGAACAGCACTGTGCACAAATCCCAGCACGTTGGGAGGCCGAGGCGGATGGATCACCTGGGGTCAGGAGTTTGAGACAAGCCTGGCCAACATGACAAAACTCTATCTCTACTAAAAATACAAGAAAGTAGCCAGGCGTGGTGACTGGCACCTGTAATGCCAGCTACTCAAGAGGCTGAGACTGGGGAATCACTTGAACCCAGGAGGCAGAGGTTGCAGTGAGCCAAGATCGTGCCATTGGACTCCAGCATGGGCAACAAGAGCAAATCTCCATTGCAACAGCAGCAAAAAAGAACAGGGAGATTTGGGCACATTATCATCCTAAAAAAACATAAACATGAGAAAAGTCTTGCTTTCCTTCATCCAATCACCCACCCCAAGTAAGTGACACACACAGACTCTAGCCTTGCAAAAGAGAACTCTTAGTTTGTCAACTGTATGGGTTCTCACCACTACTGGCCACAGTGAACAAAACCATTCCACCACATACAATTCCCAGCCTCCTCCTTTCCACCATACAGAGGTAAGTAAGTGTTCAGTCACCCTTTTCCTGTGCTGGGTACATCTTACAGGAAAATGCAGCTATTTTCACAAATAATAATTTCTACTTGGGAGAGACTCAATAATTAGCAGTGACACTGCTCAATACTGGTGAATGAGCTTGGAGATGAGAAGGGCTGTCTGTTCCCATCTCCCACAGGCATCAATTGTTCCCCCACATATCCTAACTTCTTATTGATTCTTTTGCCCCGAAAATCAGAGAAAAATGGCACTTAGTGAAAGGATGGGTAATACTGACTAATCATGGCTACGTATACTGATTAGCTAGAACCAAAGTGAGGCAGATCAAAGTTTTGCCACCATCTAGACAAGCTCAGAGTGAGCACTCCTTTGATCTTTATAGACAGCCTGCATTACAGGGTAAAACATTCCATCCCTTAAGAGTTTACTTTTAGGGAAAGCAAATCCCAAGTGCATTTACTAAGCTGCAGATCGTGTGCACCGTTTTCACATATAAATGAGAGCCCCCAGATGAAACAGATTTGAGCAGAGAACATGCTTTATTGAGGAGTAGATACAGAAGAGCACATTCTACCACGTGGGGAAGGGTTTAGCTTCTGTAAAAGGCCTTTACCCCTTAAGAAAACCCCCAGTGAAGTTGCTTTTGGATAAATTTTAACAGTGACACTGAAACTGGAGGGGAGCTGCCACTGAACATGCTTAAAATTAGCTCCCCCAAACCACAGTGAATATAAGTAGTGTACAGAGATGACAAGAGAAAGGCACAAATGACCAGAGTCAGGGATTGCGGTGAGGGCTCCACATGAAGACAGTATGTTGCAGGAGACCCAGTTGGGAAGGGTGACATGTTATACATCAAAAGTTGCCCCAAGATAGCAGGTTATAATGGACTAGAGAGAAATTAGAGGGAACATCTCTTCCTTCACTTAAACAACACCAAAAATAGAAGACCAGAGAATAGAAGGATGGTACGAATCCCAAAAAGGAAATGGAGGAGGAGTTCGTGGAAGGGCAGAAGCACTTTAATCCTAGAGGGAGGGTGAGGCACTGTTGGAAAGAGAAGCAAACCTTGGCAGGGGTGGCCATTCTGCCTTGCTGAGTCATGGGCTGAAATACAGAAGTCACTTTCAATCATTTTCAACGTCTCCCAGGGCATTCAGACAAAATCAGTGCAATTTACATGGAAGTACAGATGTACTACATCAGGACTGGTACAGATGAAAAGGTTTCTGCAGTATAATTAACCAGTTAGCATGTAGCAAGAAAGGGAGAACTGGATATGACTTTGGCACCTGCAAACATACAAAGGGACTGGAAGTAAAGAGAGAAGGAAACTCTTACTAGAGGGTACTTACTGGTGAGGCAAAAAGAAGTATCCATTCCCTTCCACCAAGACACTGCCCACTGCCCACAGGTGAACTCAAACACAGAACCACCACTTCATTCTTCTCTCCATCTCATTCAGATAAATTATATACTAGTCCCTGGGAAGCTCTTCAAAAGTATTTGGCTCTGTTTAGCCCAATACTGATCAAAAAGAGGTCTCTCAATCAAAATGAAGGAAAGAAATTTAAAGCAAGATGAAGCCCAAAGTGAATGGACCCCCTCCTAATCCACACACACTCAGAAGTGCCACCTCTTCCCTGCCCCTCCATAGAACACATGTATTAGGAGTAACTGGAAAGGTCCTGGTGGTGGCAGCCATATTTGGAGGTCTGGTGACCAGGCAGCAAGCACTAGTACCACGCTTAGAAGACACAACACAACCTCATGGGGCGAGAGGACATGAGGAGAGAACCAGTGACTGGACAGGTACAGTACCATAACAGAACTCCTTGGGTCAGTGCTGAGAGATCTGCATTCAAGTCTAATACAGATCCCATTCAGGCAACCTCACTGAGGCCGAAACAACAGTTCCTCAGAACCAGCGTCTGCAGTGTACATGAAGGTCGGAGCCAGGACAGTCCTGAGGGGGATGGCCTTTCCCAAAGGATACTGTACTTGCCAATCACAAGAGCAACAGAAATGACAGACAGATCCCTAGGGTACGGATTCCTACTGCCGGGGTTCGCTGGCTCGGAATGACAGGTCACTTTAAGTGCCCTTGGGAGGGGTCCATTTTAAGCAGCTGGGATCCATGGTTTTATTGGAGTTGGACCTTTTGGCCTCTTTGGCTATCCATTCATCAATCAGGTCCTGGGGGAGAACAATGGGAAAAAATATTATACACTTTCAACTCAAATGCCTTTACATAGATTCCAAAATAACTAACAGCCAAGAAGAGACTGCCAAAGTTTAGCAACATATTAGGGTATAAAAAAATACTACCTTGGCCATGCGCAGTGGCTTACACCTGTAATCCTAGCACTTTGGGAGGCCGAGGTGGGCAGATTGCGAGGTGAGGAGCTCGAGACCAGCCCGGCCAACATAATGAAACCCCGTCTCTACTAAAAATACAAAAAATAGGTCAGGCGTGGTGGTGGCAGGTGCCTGCAATCCCAGCTACTCGGGAGGCTGAGGCAGGACAAAGGCTTGAACCCAGAAGGCGGAGGCTGCAGTGAGCCAAGATCAAACATTACATTCTAGCCTGGGTGTCAGACTGACACTCCGTCTCAAAAAAAAAAAAAACCCTATCTTTTAACTTATAACAAACTGCTTTCCTACCTGATCCATTCTTTGTATTTCACCCTCAGTGAGAAATGAAAATCATCGCTCACCTACCTTTACTGTATGTGTGAAATAATTTAAAAAATCAGAAGTGAGCATGAGCTGAGATAGCATTTGTGAAGATTCCACTAAAGATGGGCAATTTCCACCTAAGAAAATCATCCAGTGACAGAAGTGCTGTACAACGTAAAGCTGCTTCACTTGTGCCATCCAAATTTGAGACAGGAACTTACCAAAAGCTTCTGATGCTGATAAAGCAACACAGGCATCAGTGCCAGCTACAGAAATGAGACCCAGTAAAAGGGCCATGTAGTGGAACTCCTTTAAGGTTAGATTCTCCTGAGTCTTAAGACCCCTACTTTGCTCTGCTAAGCCTTGAGGGACATCCAGCAATGAGCACACTGATGAAAACCTTACCTGTCTCTTTAAAACTAGGTGTTTTCCCTTCCAGTACTTGAGCATCTGAAGGGCCTGCAGAGTGCTGACAATGTCCACGGGATTCACAGCCGTCTCCTGACTGATTTCTGAAACAGAAGAGCTACTGACAACTTGGCCAAAGTGCAGGTTCCCACCCCTTTGTCCCCCAACCAAGGTCTACTTTTCCTTAAAGGAAATCCAATGGACAGAATCTTCTGTACTCAACCCAATCTGCTTAAAGGTTACAAAGCATTCATTTGACCAGTTCAAATAACTACAGAAGAACATTACAGCAAGAAGCTACTATTGCCCCCTCAGAATTCAGGGTCAAATATAGATCAAACTAAATTCTTCCACTCTTGCATAAACACACAGGGATGTCTTTCTCAGAAAGATGAACCAAAAGACCTGAAGTTTTTCTTCTTGACTTTTATAAGAATTAAAGTGTTAGGAACTCTAGATTTGAGAAGCCAATTAATAACTATTCCCAGGGGCCAAATGCTTTGCTAGGCAACTTTGGTGAGGGTTTTGCAGTGGTCCACATTCAGTGAGTCTTCCATTCTCATATTCAGGGGAAACACAACATCCAGTAGAGTAAACCGCTTGAACCATCAACCATTCCAAGGAGGCAAAAACCAACCTTTGATAGAAATCTCTTTGCCTTGGAAATTATGCAGGTAGCGGAGAAGTACTTCTTTCCAGTAACTGCGATAGCTTATAAGCCCCAGATCTGAGAGTGGACGTTCTGGGGAGCCAACTTTTTCTTCAACTTTGGAAAGCAAATAACCTGCCAGGGAACAAATATAGACTTTTTCTAGCAACACTAGATCTTATCCTAATAGCAAAAAACAGTGTGCCAACATGAAAGAAGGTTTAAGAAGCACAGTCTACTCCATTAGGGTTTAGCCATTCAATGGAATACTGTGTGATTAAGTACAGTACACCACCTTTGTATAAACAAAAGCAGAAGAATGTGTACTTGCATTTACATGACACAGTAGATCCCTCTTATCCACAGGGAATGTGTTCCAAGATTCCTGGTGGAGGCTCAAAACTGGAGAGTAACAAATCCTATATATACTATGTATTTTCCTATCAATAAATATCTGTCATAGTTTAACATAAATTAGGCACAGAAAGAGAATAATAAAACAGATCAATTATAACAATATACTGTAATAAAAGTATGTGAAGGTTGTCTGTCTCTCAAAATATCTTATTGTACTGTACTCACATATTTTTGGGCCGCAGTTGACTACAGGTAATTGAAACTGCAGAAAGTGAAACGAAAGATAAGGAGGGCACTATTGTAACAGGCACTAAAAGAACTCTGGAAGGCTTCACTATAAATCATTTTGATAACAATGATTCTCTGTAGGTGTGTGTTGAGAACAAGGGAGACAGGAAACAAAAATGTGAAGCCACTTCGTTATGTGGTTTTTAAATCTTGGAATGGTAAGAACAGATTATCTCAGTACCACCCATGAGATAGTGGGGGTTGTAGAAAACCCAAATGATGGGCCAGGCATGGTGGCTCACGCCTGTAATCCCAGCACTATGGGAGGCCGAGGCAGCTGGATCATGAGGTGAAGAGATTGAGACCATCCTGGCTAGTGAAACCCCATCTCTACTAAAGATACAAAAAATTAGCCAGGCGTGGTGACATGTGCCTGTAGTCTCAGCTACTCAGGAGACTGAGGCAGGAGAATCGCTTGAATCCAGGAGGTGGAGGTTGCAGTGAGCCAAGATTGCACCGCTGCACTCCAGCCTGGGCGACAGAGCAAGACTGTCTCAAAAAAAATAAATAAAAAAAAGAAAGCCCAAATGATAAGGCCGCTAGATGTGAAGTCTAAACACCTAAAATTCAATTTATACAAAAATATACAAAACAACACTATGGAGACGCAGTCTACAAAGTTCGTAATCTCGGAAACCCTATTAGAACTAACCTGCTTTCTTTAACAAAAACACAACAAGGAAGAAAAAGATGGGAGTGGAAAGTTTTAGACTAAAAGTGAATTTTGAGTCACATTTCTCAATAGTACTGTTAAAAAAGAACAAAGTCACACCAGGGAAATTTGAGTATCACAATTTATGATATGAAGGACTTTTTTTTTTTAATCCATTAAGCCTATGTAATGAAGCAGATTTTTTTTTAAGGTGTAATGGGCCTTATCTTTCAGAAATATCAAAATAATGGCAGGTGGGAATATAGGTAAAACAAGATTAGCCCCCAGTAAAACTGTAATTAATGAAGCTGGGTGATGGGTATAGGAGGGTTTATTATACTCTTATTCTACTTTTGTTAATGCTTAAAATAATAATCAAGTTTATAAAAACGGTGTTACCTATTCAGAGATACAGAGTTCCCCTCTTATGCCACCTCCCAGTTCATCTCTTCTCAGGTGGCTTAAAAATGAAAGAAGGCTTGGAAGGCTAATTCTAGGAATTCCAATTTTGATTACAATATACCATGTCCTATGACCGTGGACATGGAGTAACATACAGTGGAGCCTTGTTATTCTCAGCGGTTGTGTTTTAGAAAGTCACCAAGAACCCTGACTTAGTGAATACTGAACCGCTGCTCCTAGGGGAAATACAGGGAGGGTTGGGTTCCTACAAGCCTCTGGTCATATATTGGTCAACTATAAATATATAGCCTTATTTTATGTTTCTGTTTAAAAATGCCTCATTTAATATATACTGTTGATATCATTAACATTGAACTCACTGCCAGCAACTCTGTAATTCGCCTGAAGAAAGCTATCTAACCACTATAAGGTACACGAGTATTCCTGAGATGAGCAACAGACACATCAGCACTACTCAAGGGGCCATTTACAATCAACAGAAGGCCAAGAATGTGTGGCACTAACAGAGTGAAAATGAACTTGTTTACAGTATAAGAGCTGGAAACTCTGAAGTCAGCCAGGAATGTGCACATCCATGACTCTTATTTTTTGCTGCTCTGTGCATGTCCACAAATGACCACAAAAATGTTAGGGCTGATTGGGGTTACAAATAAAATTTAGTGAGTAAGCAAATTCACAAACAGAATCCACAATTAATGAGGGCAGAGTATATTACACAAAGAGTCCATCGGGTATATATATTACCTCTAGACAAGTCCCTACAAAAGTGAAATCCCTAGCATCAAGGAACAGATTTTTAAGCCTCATGCATTCATGTGCTATTTAAAAATCGAAAACTGGGATAATCCTAAAGAGCTTACTTTATCATCCTCTATACCTCCTACTAATTAAGTAGGAGTCCAGTATTCTTTCAATGTTCAATGCATATCAGGCAGAATGACAATGTTCAGTCTGCCAATGTTCAGAATAACAATGAACAAGTTTTTCCTACTTGTTCATTCATTTACTAAATATCCATGTACCTCCACTACATTCCAGGAATGCAGAGACCACAGGACAAAAAGACAAACAACAATATTCACATGGTCCCTGCCTTGTGGAACTTATGACTTAGCAGTTTCACTTACTGAAATCAATGAGCATCTTGCCATAGCCCTGTCTCATGTACTGAGGCATGGTAAGAATACAGGATACGTTGTAGTTGAGGAATGAATTCTTTTCCTAAAATCAAGAGCAAACAGATGAACATGTCGTGAGGATTTGAAACCAAAAGTTTCAGCACTTCCACAGATACAAAATAAGGTTGCTTGCAAAACACCTGGCTAACCAGTTCCAAGGAGTGGCTGTAAGGTGCACAGCTGTTATATCCACACCTTTTATTATGGCTAAAGCCATTAATCATCCCAGATTTCCCTAGCTGAGACCTCTAGTCTCATTTTAAGGGGGCTGACTCTGGGTTCCTGACAGCCACAGAGCAGGGCAAGAAGGTTAAATGCAATTTTTGAAAAGGAGCTGCCTAATGGAAGAAAAGGGAAGGAAAAAACACAGTAGGTCCCCATTCTGCAAAGGGTAAAAAAAAACAATCACATTGAACCAAATCAAAATGTATGATTCCACTTATAAGAAATGTCCAGAATAGGGCTGAGAGGGGTTGAGTGGAAATAGGAGTGATTGCTAACAATTTCTTTCTAGGATAATGCAAACTGGGTTGACTGCACAACTCTGTGAATACACTATAAACCACTAAACTGTACCCTTTCAGTACGTGAATTTATGGTGTATGAATTTTATATTTCAATCAAGTTGTTATACTAAAAGTCATAAACAAAATCTGGCCTTGGTCCGGGTGCGGTGGTGCACGCCTGTAACCCAGCACTTTGGGAGATCGAGGCGGATGGATCACTTGAGGTCAGGAGTTTGAGACCAACCTGGCCCACATGGTAAAACACCATCTCTACTAAAAACACACAAAAGGCCGGGCGCGGTGGCTCACGCCTATAATCCCAGCACTTTGGGAGGCCGAGGCGGGTGGATCACGAGGTCAAGAGATCGAGACCATCCTGGTCAACAAGGTGAAACCCCGTCTCTACTAAAAATACAAAAATTAGCTGGGCATGGTGGTGCGCGCCTGTAGTCCCAGCTACTCGGGAGGCTGAGGCAGGAGAATTGCTTGAACCCAGGAGGCGGAGGT